GAATATGCAAGTTCAGTACATATCACTTAATCTATCATTGTGTCCTGGAGCGTGTTAGAATATTGGATCTGTCTTTTCTACATCCTACTCCTCCAGGCACTGGTCGGCAAAGCAGCATGAATCTGTAAAATGTATGACGAGGACTAGAGCTCAGCTGGAAAGCTATGTCCATAAGTGGGTGTAGGCACACAATGAGTATTATGCTTTCAGTAAAAAGAAGGTTCGGAGCTGAAGGTAATGTTTGTTATATTTGTTGCTATAATAGAACCAGTGAGTAAGAAAGCAAAATGTGTTTGTCTGTTACAGACATCCATAAACTTATTTCCCACTTGGGAAAGGGTACGATCTTGCTATTTACATGTCGAAATAGAGAAACGGATGGATTTTTGTCTATAAATAATTAAATAAGTTGTAAATGTGTTTTTTTATTCATCCACGTTATTACATTAAAATAATATTAAATGCTAATAGCTATATTAATGTGGTTTTGACGATTGATAAGAAGGGTTAACATAATTCTCTATAGTATAATTTCCATAGTCCAAGAAGAAAATAATGTGATCATGGGTAAAGACAAAATGAGAACCTCTCGGCATGATTCATGGTTTGTTTTTTGTTTTTTCTCTTTCTTTCTATTTGTGATTCTTTGTTGATCTGGAAGAAGGATAAGAGAAAAGGAAATCGGGAAAAGAAAATATGTATATATAAAATCTCGATTCCCTGACATCTAATTAACAAAAATGTGATTATGTAATTTTCCATATACCGTACCTTTAATCTGTTTTTATCATGTTTTGTCTTCTTACTTTACGGTGTATGGTTTGTTTGTTTTTGTACTGTATGGGGAAAAAAAAATAATAATATTAAATGCAAAGTCGCAAAAGGAAGTATTGCCATTGTGAAAGTGAATACATCTAAGTATTTACAAAGAATAGTGCAAAAGGAAATGTTGTCATGGTATCACCATGGTATCCTTTGTAGGACTGTGAGGCTGAGAGGCATCCCTTTCAAATGGGTGAACTCACCGGGAGGATAAGAGATCCATATTGACGCACGCCATGTCGTTGGGCGAAATTGTTCTTTTGTTTTTTTGGGGTTTTTTGCAGGCAAGTTTTTATATTACTTGGCTTGGCACATTTATTTGTCTTATATTTGTTGTTTGCTGCATTTTGACGATTTTATTTTAAGAATTTAAATTTGTGGCCCAGGAAGATGGGGTCTTTATTGGAATTTCTTTACATCACTCAATGACCGGTTGCCATAACTTTTTGCACATAAGAAGATGACTTAAAGGGACACTATAGTCACCAAAACAACTTCAGCTCAATTAAGCTGTTTTGGTGTGTAGATCATGCCCCCTGCATTATTATTATTATTATTATGATATTTATATAGTTCCATCAAATTCCACAGCGCTTTACAATGGGTGGACGAACAGACATGTAGTTGTAACCAGATAAGTTGGACACACAGGAATAGAGGGGTTGAGGGCCCTGCTCAATGAGCTTACATGCTAGAGGGAGTGGGGTAAAATGACACAAAAAGGTAAGGATAGTATTAGACTAGTGACAGTTGCAAAAGAGGAATCAGTCAGGAGCTATTAACAGTTTAATTGATACGCTTTTATGAAGAAGTGGTTTTTTTACGATTTTTTTTGAATGAGTGGAGACTGGGTGAGCATCTAACAGAGGAGGGAAGCGAGTTCCACTGGAATGGTGCAGCACTCGAGAAATCTTGAAGGCGAGCATCAGAGGTGGGAGTACGGACAGAAGATAGACGTAAGTCTTCAGCAGATTGTAAGGGCCTAGATCGTAAGGGCATTCTCTGCCATTTAGGAGATAAATCACTTTGTTTATACAGCTCTAGGCACTTCCTGTAAAGAG